AAGACATCCAGTGATAGCTGCCAAGCCTTTTCTGGCCCTACTTCCAAGCTCTCAATCCAAAGAAAAGAACTAGACTTTTTTTTCTTTTTAATATAAACCAGGGGTCTGCAACCTTGACAACTTTAAGACTTGTGGACTTCAGCTCCCAGAATTCTGGGCGCTGAAGTCCACAAGTCTTAAAGTTGTCAAGGTCGCAGACTCCTGATATAAACAATTAGATAAAGTTATAATGTTGACTGTTGAAAATGTTGAATGTTGAACATTTCTACATCACATTGTATAAAAATGTGACCATCTTCTGTTGTCTCTTCTGTCATCTTTTGGGGGCATCTTTTCAAGTCCCCACCCAGTAGGGGTGCTCCATGACTTAGTAGAATATAAATATATATTTAATCTCAAATCCACATCCTCCAAATTATTATCAGGCTGGGATGTGCTTCGCATAGAACTTGCTGTTCAAAATAATTAAAGTCTCTGTGAAGGACTTTCCTTAGAGTTTCACACCAGAACCTATTGGTTTAGGAGCCAAGGTTGCCTACCCCTGGTTTAGGGTATATGCAACTACTTGCCTGATTTAATGAGGCTTTGAGATGATTGCAGGCTAGCGCTTCTGGAAGAGGATGGGAAAAGATTCTCCTTAGGGCACTGCAGTGTCACTTTAACCACCATGATTTACCAAGACCCTGCAGTTGCAGAGAAGAGCAATTTATGGAGAGAAAGAAGAAGAAATTATTTGTTAGAAGAATTCAAACCTATATTTGTGAACATACTTAAAGATTCTACGTGCCCACTTAATGAAAGAATTTAATTTCTGAACAAAAAGTCTTTAATTAAAAAAAAACACCAACTACTGCCAATCCCTGGCAATCTGACAGCTGGGCAATCATGGATTATTTAGGTTAGACTTCATTGTGTCTTAATTCAAGGAATGTATATGGGAAGTCTAGGTAATTTTGTTTGCAGTTATGAATAGTGAAGACCTGGAAGGGAAAAAAAAGGGAAGCAACCAGAGTTTCAGGGAGTTGTCTCATATCTGAATATAAATTTAAACAACAGGAAATTGTATATGTATAGATACCTTTTTATGATTCTAAGCTGCCCAAAACTACTCTATGGAACTCCAAAAACAATAGCATCTACTTGATTTCTGAAATACTTATGGAAGTATTTCATGTATTCTGAATAAGTATTCTGAAAAATACTTATTGTCATCTTTAGAAATTAAGTTAATATTTTTTGGAGTTCCATAGTTCCAGTTTCCTCTATGGATTTATACATGAACTTTTTAGTACTATTGACGTACCCTTTGGCATACGTATTTGGGAACTTCCATTATATTCGGGAAGCCAAGAATTTATTCCAGTTTGCTTGAAGCTTCTTTGGATTGGGATCCAAACATGATTAAACATGAATAGAGAAGAGTAGATCAGCTCCTGAAATTAGTGTTTATTGTGGGGGTAAATAAAATCGGATTAAAATTAGACTGCTAAACTGTAAAACAATGTTTCTTAAACTTTTTTCTCTTAGGAAACCTTTACATTTTTAAAAATTATATGATAGCTACACTCCCCTGCTACAGAACTTTCAAACAAGCTCAAGGTCCATATCATAAATATTCCAACCCACAATCTGGCAGAATATTTCTGTTTTTACCATCCACAGGTATTTTATCCCTTTGTTCTTGCTTGAGTGGGGAGAACAAACATGAGTAAAGTTTTCTCATTTATTAATCCTTTCCTAGCTTTCTGGGATCAGAACTTCCTGAAGAAACATTGAAGTACCTGTCATCCTGTTCCTTCAAATCCTCTCATAGCCAATCTCCTATTTTTATTAGAGTAGGTTATTTCAGTCTGTGTACTTCAGGCCATTTTTCAAATAAATTCTCAGGATGAATGAAGTCCAAAATAATAACTGTGATATTTCTTTATTTATAAAATTTATTGGCAGCCCATCTTACCATAGAGTAGTTTTGGGCAGCTTAGAGTCATAAAAATATATCTATACATATACAATTAGAACATAAATAATTTAAACCTGACACATGTGGGGGGAGGTGGGATCTATTATTATTTGATCAACTACCTCTATTGTGCTGTTCCTCCACTGGGACCCCAAGCCAAATAGCAAAGCTACGTCTTTAGGCCCTTACAAAAGGATAGGAGGGTTGGGGCCAACCTCACATCAGGGGGAGGGGGCAAGATGTTTCAGAGGGCAAGAGCAATAACAGAGAAGGCCTTCCTCCTGGACCCTGCCAGCCGAAATAATGGGCTGATGGGACTCTCAGTATGCCTTCTCTACCAGCACGAGTGGGAAGGGTCAATTCCATTTGGGTGAGACAGTCCCTCAAGTAACCTGGATCCATACCATGAAGGGCTTTAAGAGTGATCACCAACACCTTGAATTGCACCCAGAAGCAGACTGGTAACCAGTGCAGCTCAAGGAGCAATGGTATGACAGGGGCCGTTCTTGGGTCCCCCAAAACTGCCCATGCTGCTGCACTTTGTACCTACTGTAGCTTCTGAATGCTCTTCAGGGATAGCCCCAGGTAGAGAGGATTACAATAGTCCAGCCGTGAGAGGACTATGGACTGAACAACCAAGCGCAGGGAATCCTGATCCAGGAAAGGCATATGACATTTTACATTCTTAACAATGCCTTCTGATGCAAGGGTTGGGCTGATCAGCTTTGGCGGGGTCTATTTGGTGCCCTGACTTTCTGGTTTTGTTTCTCTGTTATGCTTCTTCACGTCTGGCTAATATACATGCCTTGGAAGACACCGGGTTCAAGTCTTTAAAAGCATTTTGAAAAAGAAAAGTCCACACAGGAACTCTGGAATCTTCTTCCTTCTTTCAAAAATATGAATACTTTTCAGTTTAGTTTAAAAGAGCATTCATTGTGGCAATGAAAAGTTCTACTCTGAACAAATTGTCTGTCTTTTAATATGGGACAGGAAAATTACAATTGGGCTGGTGGATATAGAAATGTATATACAGTAGATCAGGGGTGTCAAACTCAATTTCATTAAGGGCCGCATCAGCATTGTGGTTGCCCTCGGGGGGGCCGGGTGGATGTGGCCAGGGTGGGTGCGGCCTACTGGATGGGTGTGAATGGAGTGGGTGTGGCCTACTGGATGGGTGTGGCCAGTTCTACATCGTTCATGTCAAGGGTGCCTGTGGGTGCCTGGGCAGGAGTGGGACAGATCTGAGGGTCTCTGGCAGAAGGGGGTGGGACCAGGGCAAGTGTCAAGGCATGGTCCACTGGAGGAGCCTCACTGTTCCTCTCAGGCCATGCGGGGTGTGTGTGTGCTTATGGAGCTAAGACTGAATGTGTTTCAGCATAGAGGGCCACCACAAAATTGTACATTGGCTCCCAGCTGGCCTGGGCCAGGGCCAAGGCAGTGGGGGCTGTTCCCTCACTGTTTCCAGGATGGCTTTGCGGGCCACATGAAACCACTTCGCGGGCCGCATCCAGCCCCCGGGCCTTGTGTTTGACATGTCTGCAGTAGATGCTGCAAATTAATACTGGAAGTATTTTTAAATAGCTATTTTTTTTCTTTATTGAAAATGAATGTGCACTGCAGTGCGAGATATATTTTTAATTTTTTTCCTATTGCCAATGTGGGAGATTAGCATCAACAAGAGGAAATGAATCTGAAGAAAGGGAGGGCTGGTATTATGACAAAACAGATTGATACTAAAATAATGAATAATTTTTCTCCTTCCATTTGCAGATCAGATCAGAGATTGTTTGCTCTATGAACTGCTTTGTTTATAAATCTGAGTTTCTCTTAACCCTATGTAATTTATTTATTTTCTTTCTTTCTTTCTTTCTTTCTTTCTTTCTTTCTCTCTTTCCTTTCTTTCTTTCCTTTTTTCTTTCTGATTCTCTTAACACCATTATTTATTTATTTATTTATTTATTTATTTATTTATTTATTTTCTTCACCAGGAGCAAAAATTCAGCTGAACCTGTAACAATCCAGCCATGTCCCACAGGTACCTTTGCTACTTCCAACATGACAACCCTGTTACACACTGGAGGCAACTGGTCCACTGGTCTGTTTGATATCTGCAGTGACAAGACAATTTGTAAGAGAATCTTATGTGTTCCTTGAATTCATTTTCAAAGCTGCCATCCAAGCTTGCATGGGGAAAATGAAGTTTTCATAAAAGGTTGCTGATTGAAGCTCTTTGCCTGTTGCCCCCGGCCACCAATGCAGCTGGGGCAGGCTGTATAAAATACACACCAGAGCACATTTGAATTACTAAAGCAGTCATGCCAATTCCAAATTTCACTTGGATGCTTCAGTAGTTATTTTCACTTCTGTTTACCTGTTTGTACATGCACTGTACCTTCATTTTGCTGGAAAATAAAAAGCAGACGTTTTAAAGAATAGCTGAACTAACTGGACCATTGTGGTCGTATATAGCCTCTACTAGAGGAAGCTCAGATTCATATTTTGAATTCTCTCTAATATGATACACTAGGGAGATGTGGTCTGTGCACATTATCCATCCCCCTCAATGTTCCTGGAATCATGCTGGTGGATTTGGCAGCAAATCACTGAGAAGTTCTGATAGAATTTCCTGCTACTTTTCAATGGATGGATGGAAGGAAGGAAGGAAGGAAGGAACTGTGTAAACCCATTTAGGATCACCCTCCCTCTTCCTTTCCAAATAAACTTCTAGAAAAATCCCAATTTTAGCTATTTCATTAATGACACCATGTCAGAGTTTCACCCACTTTTTTAAGTGTAGATCTTGGTTCTTTCTTTCTTTCTTTTTATAGCTATAGAAATTATCAAGAGAAGTATCCCTTAAGCCTATTTCTTTTTATAGCTATAGAAATTATCAAGAGAAGTATCCCTTAAGCCTATTTTCATCATGACCTGGTGCTTTTCAAATATATTGGACTAACTCTACAAATGTTTAGCTTGTACAAACACATTGAAATTCAACCCTTCCAAAGGACACAGCTTGACGTCTGCATTTACAGATTTACTGCAACTAAAGGAAGATGGGATTTGATCAGATCATTTGACAAGAACCTTGTGCAGTTGTTACGTGACAGGAAAATACAACACCTGGGGTTTCTCTGAATTCATTTTGCCCACATCATTGTGGAACCAAATAATATGGTTGTGGAATTTCATCTGAAGATCAGTAGATTTTGACTTAGACCATCAGACATAACAGAGTTTAATGAAAAATGGGCATCCTTGTAGTAACCTTTCAGTCTTGCCTATCATTTTAAAGATTTCAACCTATTTTCACTGCAATAATGGAAAGTAGCAGAGCTCCCAGATCTGGCCTGTAAAGTTCTGGCAGCATTAGATAAAAATATCACTTAACTTGGTCACTATTGACAATGTGAAAAAACAATCTCGATCACTGAAATATTAGATATCTACTTTTGCAACATAACCACATTCTTGTTTTCTTGAATGAAACTATGTGTTCTTGGGTTAAAGTTAAAAGCTGTTGCCTACACACAGATTTATTATTTGATCTAATTATCTTTTGTAAAGAGAGGATAAGAATCTCCCAAGTGCTAGTTTCTTTTTTAAAAAAAGGTGCAAACTGCTAAAGAACTGTGAGTCTCTCAAACTATCTTTAAAGCATTAATTAAATACTTCAAATACCAGAATATTTCTTAATTAACACGCAGTATGCCTTTATTGTCATTCAGTCTTGCAAGGATTTCTGTGACCAATCTAATGATCGATCTTGCTGCTTCCCTGTGTAATAGTAAATTTTCCTATCCCCTGGTTTGTGTTCATACTGTTGATTGATCGTGTGCTGTCAAAGCACTGTTGACTCTTATTGACTATACAGATAGATTTTAGGAATTAAAGAGAAACTTCCTAACACTGAGAACAATTAATCAGTGGAACTGCTTGCCATCAGAAGTTGTGGGTGCTTCATCACTGGAGGTTTTTAAGAAGAGACTGGACAGCCATTTGTCTGAAATGTTATAGGGTCTCCTGCTTGAGCAAAGGGTTGGACTAGAAGATCTCCAAGGTCCCTTCCAGCTCTATTCTGATTGATTGATTGATCCATGACATTTGGTCGCTAAAATGATCCTTCAGGCTTTCCAATAGTGAACCCATTGCTCCATATTCATATTACAGATATCTAATGATCAGATTTCATGTTGTCCTCTTATATTGTAGCTTTCTCTAGATCTGTTTCTTAATTTCTGGGCTGTCATGCTTATATAGGTAGTCCTCGACTTACGACCACAATTGAGCCCAAAATTTCTGTTGTTAAGTGAGACATTTGTTAAGTGAATTTTGTCCTACTTTACAACCTGTCTTGCCCCAATTGTTAAGTGAATTCCAGCAATTGTTAAATTAGTGACACAGTTGTTAAGTGAATCTGACTTTCCCATTGGGAAGGTGATCCCATGACTCCAGAACATTGTAACCCTCATAAATATGAACCAGTTGCCAAGTGTCCGAATTTTGATCATATGACCTCAGGGATGCTACAATGGTTGTAAGTGTGAAAAATGGTTATATGTCACTTTTTTCAACGCGGTTGTAACTCTGAACGGTCACTAAATGAACTGTTGTAAGTCGAGAAATATATATATATATATATATATATATATATATATATATATATATATATATATATATATATATATATATATATAGTGTGTGTGTGTGTGTGTGTGTGTATACACACACACACACACATACATACACACACATTAAATTACTAGGACATTTTATTACCAAAACCACAGCTGCACCTGAAAATCTCAGCGGAAATATTTAAGTTTTTCCTGTTAGCTTAGAAATGATAAAAATCTTACATAGAACTGTTTCCATCACAATTCTCCATGTTTTTTTGATTGTAGTATTGCCATCAATGCTTCATCTTCTTGTAAAGGTAGTCCTCAACTTACTACTGTAAGACTAACCTGATTTTATGACCTTTTTTGGGTGGTAGTCTGTAATCAAACCCCACGGTTGTTAAGCACACCAATTGTTTGCTATGGGCCAGTTTTGCTGAAAACTGGAAGTATATGCCAGTCCAGCAAGAGTGTCATAAAATATAATCATATAAGCACCCAAAATATGGTCATATGACCACAAGGGGGAGGAAAACGAACTTTGGAACTAGGTGGTAAATATCCTTGGGGAGGTCCATCATAAGACTGAATAGTCATTAAGTGACTGGTCAAAAGTTGAGGACTAGCTATATATGTAACAGCAGGTTTTTATGCATATATTTTTCTTAAACAATCTTTAACATCTTGCTGATTCGGGGGAGGTATGTAGAAAGCTAGAACCTTTTTCCTATTAGAAAGGATCTTACTTTATAGTTAAAAGCTGAACACAGAGTGCGAAATTGATGCTGCCATAACCGTTCAATTTACAGGTAGTCCTTGACTTACGACCACAATTGAGCCCCAAACCTCTATTGTTAAGTGAAACCATTGTTAAGTCAGTTTTGCCCCATTTTCAGATCCACCCTGCTGGTGTTCTGCTATTCTGTTGGAGAGGGGAGCAGGAAGGCCGCTGGCATTCTTCACATCCTTTTGCTTTTACAGTAACCGCTTGGGAATTAGGGAGGGGGATTGTCTTCGGAGACGAAGCAGACTCCTTCCCAGCCGTTTCCAGCCTGGTTCCAAGGCCATCATGCCCTGTGGGTGACTTGTTGTCTACCCAGTACCTCAGCATTCTCAAAACAACCTTGCGGCATCACATTGGCTGCTGGTGGACTGGTCAGGGGGGTTGGGTTTGGGGAACTGAAAGAATTGCTTGTGCTTCATGCTGGATCTTCAGATTCCACCTGACTTTACTACATCCACTTTCTGTCAATAAAAGTTCTTTTGATTTACCTCAATGGAGTCAAGAGTTATCCAGGTCCTTACACCCATTTAAAGACCTTTCTTGCCACAGTTGTTAAGTCAATCGCCCAATTGTTAAATTAGTTAACTTAATTATGTTAATGTATGTTAATTATAACTTCATTATGTTAATTTAACTTAATAATGTTAAATTGGTAACTCGGTTTTTAAGTGAATGGGAATTTCCTTGTCAGAAAGCTGCGAAAGGGGATCACATGATCCCAGGACACTGCAACCATCATATATAGGAACCAATTGCCAAGCATCCGAATTTTGACGATATGACCATGGGGATAGTGTAATGATCATAAGTGTGGAAAATGGTCATAAGTCACTTTTTTCAGTGCAGTCACTAAATGAATGGTTGTAAGTCAAGGACTACCTTTATATAAATGCAAAAGGGCCATTTACAAATACAAAAAGTCCATTTCAGAGTGCTAGTACAAACTGCTAACACTCTTTTTACACATCCCAGAATCCGTCAGACTTGACAGGCGTAGGGATGCTTAAGGTACTGTACATGTTTCACCCCTCCACAGCTCTAGACTCCTAACTCTGCTTTCTTTTGAACAAGACCTTTGCCAGGCTCAGTGATGTGATCCCTGAGCTGACTGAAGTCATTGTGCCTCTCTCATCTCATTCTGATCTTTCTGTTTGTAACTTCACGACAGGTATGTGTGGCTTGTTGTGCAGCCCATGTCTGGAATGTAGACTTGCGAGCAGGTATGGTGAGTGCTTTTGCTTCCCATTACTTCTGGGTTCAACCTTAGCCCTAAGAGCTGGCATCAGAGAGAGACACAGCATACATGTAAGTCTGCATTGTGCAGTATCCCCCTGCACATAATGTCCTTGGCCATAAGCATCAGATCTTCTTCCTCTCCACTGGTTCAGTTCCAGTGGAGGATATGGTGGTTTGGAAGAAAGCCTCTTGACTAACCTAATGGGTAGTAATGAATAAGTTGAAAATCTTTGCAAGGGTGAAAAGTTCAGAGCAGGCAGAACATTAAAAAAAATTTCCTCAGAGTTTCATAATCTTGCCGCTCTGTTCTCTTTCCCCAAATCCCACATTTCTTGACCGCTGGGGTCAAAGATTTCTTTCCCTGAGAGTGCTTGGCTCCTTAATGCACAGTTAATACATTAAAATGCTGAAACAGTTGCTCTTTTAGCCTGGAATAAAAGATAATGTGTTTTCAAATGGCATGTTTGAACCAAACAAATCCCCATCTTTTTTTTAAAAAAAAGAATTGAGTAAAAGCAACGGTTTGTCTTTGCCACAGCTGTAAAATTGCATTGTCCCTGAAGAGGAAATATACTTTTTAATGCATGCCAATTGGAATTACAGAGTCATTTTAACATTTCAGTGAAAAATAAAGAAATACAAGGGTTTTTTTAAAAAAAATAATTACAATCCATGTTTGCCAAATAGCACTACACAAGAATAATATCCATCATCCACCTGCAGGAACGTACAGTGAGGAGAAGTGGACAGATGTTCTAGGGTATTTTTGAATATGGATGCAGATAAAATAAATGCTTTTTAGGTTTGTGCAAACTGGATCTGATTGCAATTGTTGAATTGGATCAATCTAATGCAAATCAGTAATCATTCCTGAGTGTCTGAATTGGTCCAATTCAAATTGTCAGTTTGAATGTAAGATCAGCATTGACTTCCTTTGGAAATATAATTTGATTCAAACTGGCACAGCCTTTTCAGAATAATTTGAAGCAAATAGTCAAACTGCATCAGCACGGCAAAGATTTCCATTTTCCTAATGCTCATCTTGGCTTTCCTGTAAATTAAATAAAAATGTTAGAAGTTCTCCTGCGAGGGAAGCATGACAAGATGCAGATGTTCTTCATGGCTACCGCAACTTAGGTTAGAAGAAAGAATGGAGTGCCAGCACTGATATTGTTCAGGGTGCATGCGAAGGGTTGTGCTGTAACACAAACTATATGAAATGAAAGTTGCATAAACTGGTTAAAGCTTAATATAAGTGCTTGCACTTGTAACATTGCATCATGCTCTGAGTAGTATAGATGTAAATATTTTCAGGAGGAAAAACTATAGCAAAAGTGGCCCGTTTTCAAATTATACAACTATGTGCAATAAATAGTGGTAACAGGAAAGGAATATGAAGTGTTTCACAAATTCTGCAATTGCAAGAGGATGATTGATTCTGCACCTTTTGTCTAGTAGCTCCTTAGCAATTCAGAGAATAGTTATAGCTTGTTCTTGGGATAGACTGAATAATTATTTAGGTATTAAATTAAATTAAATTATTAATTTAATTTAATTTACATTAGTTAAGTTATTCAAGTAATTATTTTAAATTAAAATCAGTTTAATCTATTTGAGCTGGGAAAAAAAAGAACCAGGCTGATGTAGTAATGAAAGTGCTGGCCTAGAAGCCAGGAGACCATGAGTTCTAATCCTGCCTTAGGCTTGGTGACTTTGGACCAGTCACTCTCTCTCAGTCCAACCCACATCGCAGGGGAAAAATAGAATGAGAAGAGAATATTAGACATCTTTGCCATCTTGAGTTATTGCTAAGATAATAAAGGCAGGTTAAAAAAAAATCTTAAAAAAAAGCAAATCCAGTTGACCACTAGCTCAGCAGAGGCACATCTTTCTCTTTCCAAACTGGTGGTTAGTGGTGTTTTGCAACCCAGGTATTGTAATCTTATTTTAAAATGGGTAAACTTTCAGGATATTGCCAATTTTTTCAAGAGTTTCATTCTCACTGGAAATTATATAAATTCTAGGATTCCTGTCCAAATCTTACAAGGTCTCAGGGGATTGGGATGAGATCCAAAAATTCTGGTAACTAGCCAAGAGCTTGCCATTTTATTTACTTAAAGATTCATACTTGGTTGATGGTCTAGTGCAGGAGTGGTCAACTATATGGCCTTTTTATGACTTGTGGACTTCAACTCCCAAAATTCCTGCGCAAGCATGGCTGGCTCCCAGAATTCTTATAACTGAAGCTTATAACACTGGGAGTTATCCAAGTCGGGAAAGCTAGCTGAATCCTCACACTTGTAAGATGTCTTCAGGGGGATTCTGGAATTCAGCTCAACTGCAGAACAGCTGGGGAGGAGAAAGATCTTGTGCCTTCGGCCATTTTGTCTGATTGGGATGCAGTTCAACACAGAGGGCCTTACTTCTGAATAAACATACATAGAAAGGATAGTTTCATTTGGTTGCAAGAGAAGAATACGGCTGCTGGGACAGGACAGGGAAATACAAAGATTGTTTTTAAAGTGGGGTGGAGGAAAACCAGGAATTTCTATTTCCTTCAGAGGTAGAAAAAGTGAAAGAGGAGGTTGGAAAGTACAGGTAGTCCTCAACTTGCGACTGCAATTGAGTCCAACATTTATGTTGTTAAGTGAGACATTTGTTAAGTGAGCTTTGCCCCATTTTCTTGCCGCAGTTGTTAAGTGAATCACTGCAGTTGTTAACTTAATAACGTGGTTGCTAAGTGAATCTGGCTTCCCCATTGACTTTGCTTGTCAGAAAGGTCGCAAAAGGTGATCCCATGACCTCAGGACACAGCAACCATCCTAAATATGAACCAGTTGCCAAGCATCTGAATTTTGATCACCTGACGACAGGGATACTGCAATGGCCGTGTGACAAATGGCCTCAAGTCACTTTTTCAGTGCTGTTGTAACTTTGAACTGTCACTAAACATACTGTTGTACAGTAAGTCGAGGGCTACCTGTAATCTGTCAGAGATGATGCAGTGGATCTTCCATTGAGTAGGGTGACTCTGTGGCCTCTTCAATTTACAGCTCTGAAATAGAAATGGGGGGAAAGCTCACAAAATGGCAAGGCTTTGTTGCCTGGACAATATGCAGTGATCTACAAGAAGGAGACAAGATGAGCAGCAGTTGTTTGGTGGCAAAGGCAAACCCCGTAATTAAAGGCCTATGTAGAAAAGGGAACAGGAACTGACTAATTAAGGGTGGATTTAGGTAGGCCACTGATTTTGGGGCAGTACAGGATGCAGCATATTCAGATGTCAGCAACTAAAAAGCAGATACTGACATACAATGTTAGAGTCAGAAGCTAGGGAGACCCTCGGTGCCCCTTTGCTTCCCCACAAGGGATAAGCGGTTCTTCCATGTAATTTAGAGATTTCAGTTTCTCAGAGTGAGGAAAATGTGGAATGCAATGGAGTCTGGGGAAAGAACTAGAATTAGAATTTCTTTCTGTGGAGAAATTCTAATTAGATCGGCATTTAGTGGCATGGAAAAATGGTTTCTCAGTCTGTCTTATACGGAGAGATTCTTTTCTGTTTTCCCCCCAGGGAACTCTCTGCGAAGACTGGATGGCAGTTCACTGCTGCTGGCCTTGTGCAATCTGTCAAATGGCTCGAGAAATGAGGATAAGACCTCTGCTCCAGGTCTACAAAATGCATCGATCCCCTCCTCCTCCTCCTCTTCTGGCCAAAGATGCACTTGTTTAAAAATGCTCTCCCCCTTGTCTCTAGAGGCCCCTTTAAAGGCTAAAAGATGTTCTGTGTTTTCTTCGCTCCAGCCACAGTAGTTGGAAGAGCCGTCAGGCCTCTGGAGCTTGGCACCACCATATGTGCAATCACTTCTATTTGCTTTACATCGTACTTATCCTTATGGCTTTATCCATCTGCATTGTCAGGATGCCCGAAGTATTCTGACATTTTCCCCTTTTCCACTGAATGAAAACCAGGAAGTGTGGCTCAGTTTTCAAGCACAAGGGGTTAAATTAACTTAGGTTTAAATTAACTTCACTCCTTGCACATCCCTACAGGCAATTGTGCTTGACAGATGATCAGAAGCAAACTCTCCAGCTCTGACAATTTATTAACTAATCATCAGCAGATGAGTTTAAATGGTACTCATCATGAACTGGGGCTACTGTTCAAGAATCAGGCTGTTTGTTTCCGAAATGTGGCACACATTTCATTTCGGCCAACTTTTTGTTTTGCTTCCAAGAATCAGAGGTGGGTAGCTTCATATTCCCTGCCTAGGATACACTTTTATGAAACAACCAGAGGATCCAGCAATGTGCAAGTCTTTAGGGCAGGAGTCCACAATCTTGTGGTGCAGATGGCATATTAGAAATGTGGGCTGTCTTCCAAGAATGGCTGCTGGGCATAAGCTTATTCACAGATTGGATTCAGTGAGTGCCATGACTTCACCTATTAAAAGCACCTATTTATCAACATTTTCCTTTGTCCTTTTCTGGGGAAATGGGGATACTTCTAAAGACAGCTCCAGAATGCATCCAACCATCTCTTTTGTTTTCTAAAACAGACTAGGAGGTTCATTGAAGGGGGGGGGGAACACATGTATGCCCAGCAGTTACATTTTATTTGAGCTACTGTATTCCAGTTTTTCTTCCTCTTTTTGTTAATGAAAAAAACACACAAATGGTACTGGAAGCTTGGAGGGTATCAAAGGAAGTTTCTGCATGATCACTGAAGGTGGTGGGTGATGGTGGTGGGACTGGCATTACTTTGGAAGCCCAGGTTTAGGGAGGGTTATATAGCAATGACATGGCTAGTTGGGTATCCCTGTTTGGAATTCTTTTCTGAATGCCAGAGGCAGCATAGCCACAGTGAAACAGGTAGCAAAGCTTTTACTACTAAGGAGTAGGAATAGGACCTTGGTCTGTCCCTAAAGATGGATTATGGATTGAAAGTTCTTTATTTTCTGCTATGTTGGACAAGAAGGCCATTCTGATTTCATCAGGAAGGTCCTCACTTTGCCAGCAGCTAAAGTTTTTTTTTCTTTTTAAAAAGGAAGACTTTTGCTATCAACATTAGCATTATTCCAATGAGTCTTTTGTTCAGTAAGTAATCTTACTGAAAATAAGCCACAAACCCACCAGGTAAATCAATCAATCCATTAATACTATTTTGGTTTCATAGCAATTAGGTTTTTTTGGTTATTCTGACATGATGATAGACATCCCCAGCTTGGGGATGATGCCATTATAAATGCCATGTACATTTTGGACAGAGAGGACCACTGGTTTGAAAGAAGGGTCAAAGAGGCCATCTGTGTTAAAATTGAACAACCTTCTCTCAACAGAGGGAGAGGGATCTGACATCATTTATCTCCAGGCTACAACATAGTCTTTTCAGCAGTTCCAAGAAGGCTCCACGCCCATTTGCACAACTCAGGTGACCCTGAGGACACAGATAAACCTCCAGGTGGCCCCAACAACTCTCTAAAAGAATGCAAATGACCAGCTGTCTGCAAGGAATATAAATTCTTCCATTCCTCACCATCTATTCAGAGCTGAAGAAGCTTCTTCAAAGAAAAACAAGAAAGTCCAGTTGCCTCTGGAAAAAGTATCTTTGGGATATAAATTCCATCATTTCCTGGTGGTTCAGGGAGGGGGGAAAAGAAAGGAAGTTCTGTAACAGTCACCCAACACATTAATCTAGAGGTAACCATCACCTCATAAAATAATAAATGAATTGGAATGACCTTCCCGCCTCCAATGAATTCTACTAGCGTGAATATTATTTATATGGAGATTAATAGCTGCATCTGTAACTTTCTCTAACCATAACATGGAAGCAAGTTGACTGGGGCAAAGCACTTACTGAAGCCCCTCTTCTGAGGAGGCCAGCTACTCTTATTCTGCTATGTTTAAATAGTTCTGAGAGGTAGGCAGTAGGCAGCCAAGCTTTCCCTCCTGCTGGATAGAGTTTGAAGCCATCCACCTTGGGTGGCAGCAGCTGCTTGGAAAGATGATGGGAAGGGGCATCACCCAAGGCAGCGACCTCCATGCAGGCTTGGTTCTTGTTGTAGGGAGACTCCTGGTCCTGACCTTGCTGGGCTTGCACTGCTCACACATCCACTAGGCACAACACTGTCTCCTTCCCTCCTGATTTCTATGGGAGTCAGAATTCTGCAGTTGCTGACTGCCCACCCTTCAACCATTCTGCCTATCTATACATAGAATAGAATACAGAATAACAGAGTTGGAAGAGACATTGGAGGTTTTCTAGTAATCTAGTCCATTGTTCAAGCAAGAGATCCTATACCAGTGATGGCGAACCTTTTAGAGACCGAGTGCCCAAACTGCAACCCAAACCCCACTTATGCATTGTGGGGTGCCGGGTGGGTGTGGCCCATTGGGTGGGTGTGGCCCATTGGGTGGGTGTGGCTGAGGTGGTAACAGCAGACTGGGTGGGACTAAAAAGTTCAATCAATCAATTCCAACTTTGGAAGATCTTTTTTTTTTCCCGCGAGAAGTTGAAATTGACTGATTGATTGAACCTTTTTTTTTTTTGTACACGGTGGCGGAGGCCTAAAGCGAAAAGGTTTTATAAAACCCAGCTGAAGGCCTAGGACTGGGGCAACGGCGCAGGTGCCACAGAGAAGGCTCTGAGTGCCGCCTCTGGCACCCGTGCCATAGGTTCGCCACCACTGTCCTACACCATTCCTGAGAAATAGCTGTCTAATGTCTTCTTAAAAACATCCAGTGATGGAGCACCCACAACTTTCAGGGACAAACAGTTTCACTCATTAATTATTCTCACTGTCAGGAAATTCCTAGGTTGCTTCTTTCTTTGATAAGTTTCCATCCATTACTACTTGTCCTGCCTTCAGGTGTTTTAACGAATAAGTCGAACCCCTCTTCTCTGTGACTATTGTCTTCTCTGCACTGTTTCTAGAGTCTCAACATCTTTTTTATATTGTGTTGGCTAAAACTAGACACAGTATTCCAAGTGTGGTCTTACCAGTGCAGTATAAAGTGGTACTAACACTTCACACATGTTCATGTGATACTATCCCTCTGTTGATGCAGCCTAGGAGTGCATTGGTTTTTACGTTTAAATAATTTTTAATTTTAAATTGACATTTATGACCTGCCTCAGATTTGATTGTGATACCTACCTGCCCCCCATCCCAATCCAGGCAGTATGCTCAGTTTACCAAAAAATAATTCTGAATAAGTATCCTGATTCTTTATGACTTAGTGTAAGGCATGAACTAAGTCTGTTAGAGGTTCTTTCCATGTAGCACATGAAAATTACATGAAGTAGGTTTTCCTCTCTGCGTAACACAGATCTCCTATATGACAAATTTGACACTTCTTCATCCAGCTTAAAAATATAGAATTACATTTTGTAAGGTTTAGTTAAATTCAGTATGTAGTCTTTTTAGTTAGATCAAATTATTTTTGGCAAGTTTGCAGGAACCTAATTAGGAATGACATTAAGCATGTGGTTTGCCTTTGCATTTTTTCCCCTCAGTAGA